CCTATAACCTAACCTAACCTAACCACTAACCTAACCTAACCAACCTAACCTAACCTAACCTAACCTACCTAACTAACCTAAACCTAACCTAACCTAACCTAACCTAACCTAACCTAACCTAACCTAACCTAACCTAACCTAACCTAACCTAACCTAACCTAACCTAACCTAAAACTAACCTACCTAACCTAACCTAGCCTAACCTAACCTAACCTAACCTAACCTAACCTAACCTAACCTAACCTAACCTAACCTAACCTAACCTAACCTAACCTAAAACCTAACCTAACCTAACTAACTTAACTTAACTTAACTTAACTTAACTTAACTTAACTTAACTTAACTTAACTAACCTAACTAACCTAACCTAACCTAACCTAACCTAAACCTAACCTAACCTAACCTAAACCTAACCTAACCTAACCTAACCTAACCTAACCAATCTAATAATCTAACCTAACCTAATTGAGTGGAATAATCTTACGTCAAGACGCCGCCATCATCTTTCTGTCACCACGCATGCGCAGGACATCAGTCGAGAGCTTTCATAATGTACTAGTAGTCACTTCCATATGATTTTGATATAAAATTTTTTAAATCGTTTTATATATATATTTTTTTATTTTTATGTATTTAGTATATTGATCTAACCTAACCTAACCTAACCTAACCTAACCTAACCTAACCTAACCTAACCTAATTTATCATTGCTGAAGTATGATTAATATTACGAAAATGATGATAAAGTTGAGTAAATCCTTTGGAATTACCTTTTACATGACCATTAACAAATTAATCATTTAGCGAATTAGTGTCATACTCCTTGGGCATTAAGTTAACCCGAAGAAAACTGTATGAGAATAATTATCAGTAGATGTTCAGAATGCCTTCGCTCGACCGATCACGATAATATTGGTATTAGTGGATTCATCTGAGCCCCCCCCCCTCCCCCTCGAATACCCATAATCTTGGCCTTCATAGCAGCGGAGGGCATGGAAGGTACCAGAGAAATCGGGAGCCAAAATATGAATGATAGATAGTAAAATAGTAATAAATAGAAATTCACCATATGAGGGCTACTACCCCCCCCCCAAACCCCGCCATGGGCAAAATAGAATCCACTACGTATATACGGCAGGATAGGGCGCCGGGCAGACTTGTCATCGGGCATCATTATCATCTTAATCATCATCATTATTATCATTATCATCATTGTTATTACCATAATTATTATCATCATTATCATAATCATTACCATCATCATCATTGTCATCATTATCATCATTATTACCATCATCATTATCATCATTCTCATAATCATTACCATCATCATCATTGTCATCATTATCATCATCATTATTATCATCATTATTATTATCATTATCATTATTCTCATTATCATCATCATCATCATTATTATAGATATGATTTATATTGTTACCATTGTAATTATTCTTATTAGCATTATTATATCATACCATTACTATTATGATGATAATGATAAGGCTAGCAAGAATAATTATAGTAATAATAATGAAAATAATTAAACTAATAATAATGTTAATAATGACAGTAATAATAATAATTATAGTAATAGTATTAATAATAACTATCAGCAAAGTAACATAAATAAGAACAATGCAAATAATAAATGCATTGATGATATATTAAGGAGTAGGAAGATGATGGTGCTAGTTTTCAGCCAGGGAGTAGCAAGGCATCTCAACACATTTCACTCTACGTAGCCTAGCAACATGATTCGTAACTCCCGGCCTACGTAGTTTACCTTGAGGGACGGACGGGGGCTTAAAGGATATGTGACCGCGGTGTCTCAGGCCTTCACCTACGGCCTTGATAGTTTTTGAAGGGCTTTTTGGTGTGTGTTTTACTGTGCTGTTTGTGTGTGCCGTGGAGGTCATTTTTCCGTTCTTTTTCGCCTGTTCGGTCGTCTGGCTGTCTCTTGTGTCTTTCTCTCTTTATCTTTTTTTCTCTTTTCTCCTTTTCTCTTTTCTCCTCTCTCTCTCTTCTCTCTCTCCTCTCTCTCTCTCTCTCTCTCTCACTTCTCTCTCTCTCTCTCTGTCTCTCTCTCTCTCTTCTCTCTCTCTCTCTCTCTATCTCTATCTATCTATCTCTATCTATCTATCTATCTATCTATCTATCTCTATCTATCTATCTATCTATCTATCTATCTATCTATCTATCTATCCTATTCTTTCCCTCCCTCCCCCTCTCTTTCCCTTTCTTTCTCTCCTTCCTCTGACTTGATCACCGACAGGTTATTTTTCAGTTTCCTTTCTCCTGTTCGTTCGTCTTGCTTAGGGTGTGTTTTGTGTATACTGACTCTCTCGTCGTGTACTGTGTCAAGTCTTTCGCTTCTCTCCTGTTCTCTTCTCTCTCTCTTCATCTCTCCTCTCTCACCTCTTCTCATCTCTCTCTCTCTCTCTTCTCATCTCTCTCTTCTCTCTCTCTCTCTCATGCTCTCTCTCTCTCTCCTCTCTCATCTCTCTCTCTCTCTCTCTCTCTCCTCTCTCCCTCTCTCTCCTCTACGTCCTCTCTCTAAATAACACTCTCTCTCTCTCTCTCTCTCTCTCTCTCATTGTCCCTCACTTCTCTCTCTCTGAGTCGTCACGCTCTCTCTCTCGTCTACTCTCCTCTTTCGCTCAACTTCATATCTCATATCTCTTTTCGCATTCTTGCTTCTCGATCTTCGATCTCTCTCTTCTTCACTTTCTCTCTCTTCTCTCAACATCTCTCTCGTCTCTGCCTCTCTCTCTCTCTCTCTCTCTCTCTCTCTCTCTCTCTCTCTCCTTCTGACATAATCACCGACAAAATAACACGTAGCAAAAAAAATAGTCTCCCTGATGCCCTAACAACCGTCTCACATTGTCACGGTGGAAATATGAATAATTAACCATACTGATGAGATATTATCAAGTAAACGTATATCTCTGATAAGCGTATACTTTATACTTCAGAAATTGCGTGATACGTTCTGTTGCCAAGGAAGAAGTTCGCAGAAAAGAGAAGAAAACAAATATATTCTTGCAACTACCAGTCCTGCAGCTGTACAAAATCTTCCTATAAACAACCTGAAGTTTTTATCGATGAGGATGTGTTAGGAATTTATTTACGTCACATATTTTAAAGCAAATGGCTTCTATTTACTGTTAAATTTCAGAGTAAGTTTACCTTTTTATGAAAAAAACGTGACTTTACAAATGGTTAATGTGTTTAGTGTTAAATATGGCGATAATTTGTTGCAAATTTCCTCTTTAACGGGTAAAATAACAATAATAGCGAATCTAGTCATAAGATTAAAAAAATGACAATTGAAATAAGACACGGGTTCCTTAGAGGACGATGGACACCCAAACGGTAGAGGGAATGAAAGCTGAAAGATTGGAGGATGAATGAGGCATAGGTATGTTATTTTGGGTCATGATTAGATAGTTTTGAATGTTATCGAGTATCTTAAAGTTATGTAATCTCAGAGATTCCTTGTGGAGAGTCATACTTGGTCACGCCACTTCGTAATGCACCTTTTGCCACGTGCCTCGGTTTAACACATCACGCACCTACCACTTCTCTTTTCGTAATGCCCTTCAAATAAGCTTCTTAGATTAGTTTAAGTGATCAGACATAAGGAAAGACAATAGAAAATATATTATGTATGTGTGTGTATATACATATATATTTTATATTTACATACACACACATATGTACACACACACACACACACACACACACACACACACACACACACACACACACACACACACACACACACACACACACACACACACACACACACACACACATGCTCTCTTTCTCTGTTTCTCTGTTTCTCTCTCTCTCTCTCTCTCTCTCTCTATATATATATATATATATATATATATATATATATATATATATATATATATATATATATATATATATATATATATATATAGAGAGAGAGAGAGAGAGAGGAGAGAGGAGAAGAGAGAGAGAGAGAGAGAGAGAAAGAGAGAGAGAGAGAGAGAATATAAATAATATACGTTTTTTTAACTTTACACACTAAGGGTTGGATTTCTGACGTGAGAGACAGTGACCACAAACATTGCCACGGTATAGGGATGTACAGTATTTACAGCACGAGTTCAGTTGCTGAAAAGTTATATTGATGTTACTAGAAAAATGCAAGAACGAATTTAATCGCCGAAAAATAAGGATTATTGAGTATCCGAAAGCTGTTGATAACACTGATGCATAATAAACCTCTTTTTGAAAAGCATTTTTTCAGGAATCTAAAGAGGATGCACTGTAATCAAGGTATGATTTCTGTACACTCTTGCTAAATACAGTAATATGCCTTATACGACCTGATGTACATGCACTGACATCTGATATATGAGCATTTCTAATTCATTGATCAATGGCGAAGGTTTGTGACATGCCCTTGTATCACAAGAAAGTGTAAAAGGTGCGAAGACACACCCCTTTTATTTTCTTCTGTGTCGACGCTGACTTGAGCTATCGTAAAATTGAAATATATAGATATCGACTGAATACTAGCTACACGAGGCATAATGACAACCTGTAGAATCAGTCCATGGGAAGCAGTTCAGTTTTAAATGTAGGTTCTACTGTTTTTTATCTGAAGAACCCTCTTGAAGATCAAAATTTTAGATAGTCGTAGATTCCCTTACTTTTTCTTTTCTTGTGCAATATTTAAATAAATTGTTTATATATCATATAATGCACATTTTCTTCATATATATCTATATCTATATCTAATATATATATATATGATTTATAGTTACGAATTAGCTGACTTAATACTCGAATCATTGTAAAAATCTAAATTCCCATAGATTCATAGATTCTATATTATGAATGGAATGAATAATGGTTACAGTCTCTGTCTTAAGGCCCCCAACGACAACGAGCAAGAGATTGGTGGGTGGGGTACCTGTATGTGTATGTATCTATTCATCTACAGGTTAAATCATTAACACAAGTATTCTCAAGTTTTATTTTGTTAATATCAACATTTATAACGATTCTTTTTTGCTGTCTTTATTTACAGTCAAGTCATTGACTTTAAATTATTTTAAATTTCTGTACAATAAAGAATTAAAAGTAAAAATAAATGTGAGAAAAATAAGTATTTCAGAGTGCATCTGTACAAGGACCAATAAAAACGTTTAATATGTCAATAAACTGATTGAGATGACAATACAAACAACCAAAGCAGTACCAGTGGCTGTCATCACACACTATTAACAGTAGATAACTTTTCTTCTTTGTGCTTGATGTACATAAATGCAAGTATGAGGTATCACAACTAAATTGCAGCTTAAATGAATTTTGTTTGAATGCAAAACTGTGTAACTGATCAAGTAATATGAATGTATATTACAGCTTTTTCATAGTTGATATGGAAATGGAGTGTACAAAGACAGCCACATTAGTACCATCCCAAAAATATTTTGATATGTACTTTGGCAAAGACATTAAAATGACTTGTAAGTAAGCACTCTCATTGGTCCTATTGTGCGGTGGATGTTACGATGAATGGCATATGATGATGATGTCCTTCCGCAGTACGTTTACACATTAAAAGAGGTTTTTCAGTCAATGTCCCAGTAAGCGTTGCACCATTACAAAAATATAATGCCACAGCTTCCTTGTTCAGCTTGTCCCAGTGCTTTCAGAAACCACTGTCCTGTGGTTAACAACTGCTGTTTTATCATTACCTTACATGTGGCAGCTTCCTTTTATATCAGAGACTGATAGGGAAGACAAGTAGTTCATATACAAACAAAAAATATCAATAGCATCATAGCTATGAAACAAAATCCTCTGGAGTTTTAGACAAATTCCCCACTGACTTAATTTACAATCAAGTCACACAGCTGGAAATCTGAAGACCTTAACAGATTAACATTATACAAAATAACAATAATGGTACAACTGATGAAGTCACAAAAGGGGATTTTAGGGGATCAAGGAACCATGATAAATCTTTAAAGATTATCACCAGGTACATCTCAGGAGAATACAACGACAGCCATAATAAAGTTTGAATCATGGGCCTCCGGGAAATGTCCTATGGGTCTTTTTATGTGAGGATCTCCAGACCTCTTTTGCACATCACAGCATCAATCAATCTCATCTCTGGACACATATTTCAAGTCAGATTGACCACCACCAACCGACACACTGTCTTTCCCAATATTTTTGGGTGAACATTATCATCTTTTTTATCAAGCATGCATAAATTATCACATGCCTCTACTAGCTTTCTGAAATAACAGAAATATTTGCAAAGAAAGTAGCAATTATGATAATTATATGTACTTAATTTCCATGTAAATGTCCCCATTCTTCCGCAAATTATGAAATTCACAACAAATTGTCAAAGTCCCAACACTCATTTTTCTTCCTGTTACATCATGGCTAGGAAGTGGCCAATATACTCTTACTATAAATTTTCTCTAGATTTAAATAGATTTAAACATTTACATTAACTATTCACAAGTCAATACTTTTTTATAATACGTCTGACCACATCACATCTATATTATTACCTAACTTGCACTCCATCTACTCCTAAAATTAAGTATTGTTTTGTATTGCATCATTCCAATATAACTTCTAATCACAGGGGAAAATGAACACTAGTCCTCTCCCATGTCAGATCCCAGAACATATAAAGGATTCTCAACTGTTAGGAGAAGAAAGAGCTCACATTCCCCATCAAGTGCATCCTCCTGTTCTGACCTGCTCCCAATCTTATCCTCTGCAAATCTGACAAACTGATCTAGACATTTTGTTTGTTGGAAAGGACGTCGGATGGGTCGTCTCTCTCGATTCTGGACTCTAGACTTACTCATCTTAGTTAAACCCACACAGCATCCAAACAAAACTTATAAATATACTCTTGTTAGATACTGGCAACATAGGACACAGCCCATGTCGTGTTGCTTCCTATGCTTATGCAACACGCAATCTTGAGTTTGTGTTAACTACTGAAATAAGTGAAAATGTTGATTTTTTCTGAACAAGGAATATTCCTACTTTTCCTACATCCATTCCTACAAGCTTTAAAAGGCATTTTACTTTTCCTTTACTCCTCTCAAGGAGTGGGGAGGGCAATAAATAATGGCCCCTTATAAGTACCTCCACACAATTGGAGTAGATTGCAGAATTTTAATAATGATAAAACAGATTCTGTCATAACTAAATGATAATAATATTAAAATCACATTGTAATGTCTCACCTACAAAATTTCAGATACCTACACAATAAATAAATTCATAAAAAAAGGTTAATGATGGAAAACAACAAAACATATCTACATGACGACAATCCACTACACTGCAACTACACCATCAGTGGGCTCCTTTAAAGGCCTCCTCCCTTGGCTGCGGAATCCCCTAATACATGCTTCTTGTAGACGAGGTTCATCTGCTCAAGGAAGATGAAAGTGAGGACGGTGTGGGGTCCTAAACGCATGTAGTACGGTGTGAAACCTTTCCAGAGTGAGAAGAAGCCCTCGTTGCGGATCACCTTGCCCAGAACGTCTAAGGCACCCTTGTATTCTGGCTTGCCATCAATTATCTTCATGTTCTGGATTCTGTGGAGGGAAGTGGCAGAACATATGATCACATTAATTGGGAATAATTGTTCAATATTAAATGCCCTATCAGTGTGGCAAGGCTCACTAGCAGCTCATTATTTCGAAATATAGAGGGGACTTGATTTCTGGTGTTAACTTTTTGGTGGTTCTTTGTGCTTTTCTAGGCTTGTCAACTCTAAGTCTAGTAGGACCATACATGATCACTGCCTCTTATTTCACTGTCTTCTCTGCCCAGATGGATTTCTCGTAACTATCTTTAAAAATGCATTTCCCATTAAAGTTCTATAAATTGATTTTTTCCCCCTATAAATAGCAAATATACAATGAAATAGAGATACCCAGAATTACAAAAGCCTGGATAAAAGGGGTTTTAATACAGTAGTTGAATGTCCTGAATCTATGCATCACTTTCACATGAAAATAGAAATCTGTATTATAAACAATAAATAAATCATTCTGCACAGACCAGTCTCTTCCTCTTTCCCATTCCCAGCTCACCTGGTCTTGGCAATGTCGACGGGCATGGAAGCAGCTGTTGTGACGAGACCCGAGATCATGGAGGCACAGAAATGGAGGAAGATGTTCTCTCGGAAGTAACCTGCCAAAAAAGGGCCAATGCCTTTATTATGAGGACTTTCCATTCACTTTTTACATATTCATTCAGCCATTATTATTCATTTTATAATAATTTAGTTTTATTTAATTACAAAAATAAATATTCTGGTTAAACATTGCTAAATAACACTAACAGACTTTGGCCTGTGCAATTTCATGCATTTTTACTGAATTACTTCACAATATGAAAAGGTGGAGTATTTTGATTTTGTGAAGGTACAGGTAGGGTACATCTGTCAGTGTTAGCATGTGACTGACTGTGCATGTGTGTGTGTGTGTGTACCTTTTGATCATGTGCATATGGAAATATGTGCTCCACTCTGTCATCCCCACACACCTGTCCCCAAAAGCGCCTGCTTAGCCTGTGAGTATGATGCTAGCTGAGCTGCATTCACAACCATGGCCCTGCCCATGGTAGGAATAGCTCCTCTCCACAGCGTGAACACTCCTTCCTCTCGCGCCATTCTCAGTAGGGCATCAAACACATTCTTGTAGTTGCGCCTCTCAGCCAGGGGTAGTCTGCCGTCTGAGGTCATACGAATGAGGGACACCTAGAAGGCAGTTGCAAGGTTATGAGAGGGAGAGAAAGAGTAAGCATGAACCAAAAAAACTACAATTACTTTATGGCTACCTATGTGATTTATTAATAAACGTCAGTTTTAATGAATGAAATGGTTTCTGAACTCTGATTTCTTAATTCACTTAGCTCTGATTGAACCCTACAATAACCCAAAGAAAACTTCCTAGTTACTCTGTAAAAAACACTAATGCAATTATAACACAATCATATAAAAAAGGGTGGAGCAATTTGCACTTTAGAAAGATATTTACATAGAAAACAAAAATGGGCTCTCAAAAATCAACACGTTTGTTGGCAGATGAGAATCACAGAGAAATCACACACAATAGTTACTACATGACCATATCAAATTATCTTTGTTACATCTCCGAGAAGATCACTGAAGAAAGAGTGCAGGATAAACTCTCATCAATGGCTTGAGACCCGCCAAAAAGGAGCCAAATAATAGGTAACATTCTGAGTTCAGCTTTTTTTACCCTGGGTCATTTTCTGTGTATTTCCTTCAATTAAAGTTTATCAGCTAACAACCAATGAAACTCAAGTCATTTCTCTTTTAACTTCTGTTTATATTGTTGAGCCATACATTAATGCAGTTGTTGCTTGCCTCAGACCACTTGCATTAGTGTGTTTATGTGTGTGTGTGTGCATCAAAGTATATTTACAAGCATGTAGATGTGTACTTGTGTATGTGGTGTCAACTTTTTGGAAGTTATTTGTGTTTTTCTTGGTTTGTCACTTTATAAAACTGTGAGAGTAAATGTGTGTAAACATCCATGTAAATGTGCACCTATGTGTATATCTCAGCAAAGGAGAAGCCATGCCTAACGGACGTTCTCCAAATATTCAGAAAACGAGGGAAGAAAAATCTTCAAAAACCTGAGGTCATTTTCTGCAGCTTTTCCTGAGCCTTTTCCATGGAATGAAAAAAAAAGTAGATAGGATAACACCTGTTCAAGAGGAACAGAACATAAGCTCAAAAAAAAAATATTAGTTTGATGCAGAATTAAAGAATTTTGAAGAAAATTGGGAATATTATTGTTCATTTTCTGAAACTTTTTTTTCAATGAAGCTTTTATCATCTAATTGAAAAAAAAGTTTCAGAAAATGAACAAGAAGGAACATTTTCTGAAACTTCTTTTATCATCTAATTACCAAAGAAACTACATTAATTTCTCATTCAAATACTTTTTGTGGGATGTTGATATGTAAGACTGCTTCCTGAGTTATAGGACAAACACATTACCCCTGTGAATGCAAAATTTGACAAGACCTATATATAAATGTGGTATTTGTTTGTGTAAACATGAGTATATGTGTATGTGTACACAGGCAATAACAAACATTTTGAAACACAAGCAGATATAGACTGACCTTGATTTCCCCCCCCCCCCCCCATTATGAGCAATCATTCAAACAATTATTCTTGCAATGTAATGATACAAATTGATTTTTATAGGTATTAGACATTTTGTATAAATTGTTTAGTCTTCACATTTTTCAGTCATACATATGTATTAAAAAGTAACATCATCAATTTTTTTAGCTTTCCCAATTATTTAGGTTCCAATGAACACAAACATAAAACCTTTGCTATTCCAAAGGTCTAAGCGGGTGGCAATGGCACGACAACTATCCCGTGCTCCTCCTAGTGGGTCCAAGCCCATGAGGTTCTCTGCCTCATGTACACAAATGAGTTGTTTTGCTTTATTTAGGGAATAAAGGCTCACCACCATTCTTGCATTATCATTGAACCCTAAAGTTAAATGGATGAGGTTTCTGTCAAAATCAAATCCTATCAACCATATTTCTTAATGAAAGGAGATTGAAGAATTATATGATTGTTTTCTCTTTTTCTTCATTTTCTTATTAAAAATTCCTCACATTTGGAGGAATCAATTATTACAAGTTACTTTGTTCCTATCATGAACTATTTATGCAGGTAGTGTCAAAATAAAAGGTTTATTTTTCAGACCAGTATGGGGAATATATGTATAAGAAAAAAATGCTGATTTAACACTAATCCAGCTTGTTGTAAAACTATAATGCCTATCTTTTGTCTTATAATTGCATAGGTAATTCAACATCCGTATAAGTCTGAAACTGGGTATAATACATCTATAACTTCCATGACCCAAACCCACGACCACTAGATCTTCGGGACAATCCCCTCTAACACCTCTATCCATCCCATTTTAGCCACATTAACCCAATCGGGACATTTGGCAAGAATGCTTGCTATGCCTACAGTTATATAAGTTAATTTATTGTCTTTACACATGGATGGCTCTACAAGTACTTAGTCACCCAGGAGTTGGTTGTTAGTAATACCTTTCTCACCTGTTTACCAATTTCCTTGATTTTTGGAATGCTTCTTGGGTTATATTGCAAACTAAATACAGCAAATTGTCCATTATTTGTAAAATTTATCTTTCACATTCATTCTTGTACGAGAAGTGCTTTATGTTTACAAAGTTTAACTGCATGGCTGTTGGACTTTAAAATGTATATAATCAGTAATTCAATCTCTATCCTAATTCATAATCTAATCATATCATCTAAATTTTAGAGAGACTAGCATTTTAAACCCATTGTTCCGAAGTAGCCTAAACCACTAAGTTGTCCAAGGTACACCTCACTGCAATTGAGTTGTTAGTTTGCTTTGCCTAACATCCCCATTCTGAGTGGCTTTATCTATAAAAGTAAGATAATATAACAGCCAACTTTGGAAGGCCATGTCCCAGCTATTATGTTAACCATTACAATAACTTACAGGTATATTGATAGTTCTTTAGAAAGATTTTTTTTTCTACTGAAATTTATGAAATTAATAAATAAGTAAACTATAACCTACACAAACAATATAATTCATACAAACTTAGGGAAAATAAAAAGGGAGAGAACCACTCAAAATACCTCTGCAGGAGTGCCAACAAAGGCACCAGCTACGCCTGCTGTCATGCCCAAGACTGCCTTCACTAAGAAGTTTGGTGGCTCACCACTGGGTCTGGAAAGAAGACAAGAGATGAAGTGGAAAACATTTATGCACAAATTCATGCAAACGAAAAATACTTTTAGATGTACCATGGATTAAACATAAAATCTCAAATTGGCTGATTTTTGTTTGATGCAAAATTTTATGGCTTATGCAGTTTTCTTCTTACCATGGTTGTGTTCCACTTCAAACGTTTGTTTCTACTTTTGCCTAATTTTAGGAGTAATTACCTATAAGAATGGCTAGCTAAAGAAACAGTTAGCCAAAAAGCTTTACAGAGGAGCAGTAAGGTGGCTGAGGAATAGTCATAAATATATAACAAAGGATAAAAGCAAGTCATCATGAACTGGACAGAAGAAACTAAAATCCAACAAGTCATGGTAAAGCTATATCCTTCTTTTACAACTCTACATACACATTATTATACATTATGCAGTTCACTTAGACAACAAAAAATCATTTATACCTCTTGGAGAAAAATGTGAGAAATACATACATATATTTGAAAAGAGGAAAACATTCCTAATAATAACTGATTTCTCATCCCTTTACCATGTATATTTACATCACTCCATATATCTATCTAAAATATTAATATAGTTTCCTAATAATCACTGATTTCTCATCCCTTTACCATGTAAACTGACATCACTCCATATATCTATCTAAAACATTAATATAGTATATCTATCTATTATAGATATATACAATTCATACACAGGTAAATATATAATAAAATCAAAAATCCTTCAACGGAAGAATAAAAGAGAAAAGAGAAAAGCACTTACCCTGAAGCTTTCTCAAAGAGCCATGTGTAGATGCCAAGGCGAGTGGTAGTGTATGTGGCTTGGCGCAGAAGGCCAGCAGAGAGGCCAGAGTAAAGCGCTGTGAAGCCCTCACTCTTTATGACGTGTCGTATAACATGGTAGCTGGTCTTGTGCTCTTTACTTGTGGCGACCTGCATTCTGTTCTTGACCAGATCCAGGGGCTGCACGAAGCAGGTCGCCCCCATCCTGCAAGAAGAGAAAAGCAATTCAGTCCAGGGACAAGTCTGCGGTACCTAATTCTTTCATTCAGGTCATATGACCACTCACAATTATCTGTTAAAATCATATGTTTTCTTTTTACAAGCTTTTATGATACTAACTAAATATCCCCTTATGTACTTATGTGTACATAGTCTTTATGTAAACAAGGCAGTTGCTGTTTAAATTGAGCTCAGCAGAAGTCTGTTTTTCATCCACCTTCCCCCCTCTAATGCAGTAATACAGATATAATAAGACATAGTGGGGTCTGTACTCAGAGAGGGGAATGAGGTAAGAATATCTTGGAGATACTGAAATATGGAGAATGAAACACGAGAGGTAAGCAACCAACCAGCGGGATGACTAGTACCGCGCCATATTCAAATCATGAAAGATCCACTTTTCATCAACAAATTAAAGCAAATAAGACTGAAATCTGAAAGAAGGTGTGCAGGCAATTTACCTTTCGCTTCATGGCTCCAGTGTGCCTAATGTGGCTCAACTTCAGCACATAATAACTGTCCTGATACTTGCAAGCTTGCCACAAGCCCTTAGAATCAAGGCTTCAATTAGTAAGCCAAATTGACCTTGCCCAATTACCCCATCCCCACCCGCTTTTTAAAAATAATATTAGGATTTGTATTATCATAATTTTCCTTGCTATTGTGCTTATAAAATATAATAAGCAATACTAAAAGCACTAAAAAATTAAATAATAGTTTTTGTAAATCAAGGAAAGAGGTAAAAAGACGTGACCATGAACAACTAGAAACCAATTCTTTGGTACCTAAACATTACTGAACTAAAATCATCATGGAAATGGCGAGTATATCATATCCTAGCATCAATGAGTTCATCCTCTAATTTGAGAAAGAAATGCTATGATCTTGAGCCACTATCTTTAGAATACAAAGGCAATACAGTTTTATCTAATCTTCCTTAACCCATTGCCTGATTCTATCAAGAAATGGATAAGAGCATATCACTATCCCTCACATGTACTATCAGAGGCACTTGGAAGCTACTTATACAGCAAGCAACACCTTCACCACCATAAATAGGTCTGTGATGTTATCCGTGTTCTGTGTAAAATGAATAAGAAAATGCAATTTTTGTATCTTATTAGTTCCTCTGGTTAGTAGAACTTTTTTCCTTCTATTGGTAAGAACATTGGTAATTTGTAAAAGGTTATTCAACAGCTATTAATAAAATAAAATAAAAAAGTTAAGAACAGCTCTTATATACTACTGAAATCAGATTTACACAGTTTCTCAGCTTTTACATCAATCTACATTATGAAACTAGATGAAGACAGATATTCATAAGGAGTAAAAAATATATTTACTTTACAATCATAATACACAAAGATGGTTAAGGGGACCGTCCCTGAGAGAGGGGGGAGGAGGGGGTTAAATTGAGTTAGTTAGCGTATAGTATAGGTACATGGATGAGGAAACTACCAAACGAGTATTAACCGCCTGCTATGGCTCGTTGTCTTGCAGCCGGCGTGCGAGTCCCTCAGCACCCGGAGAGGTACGTCGCTATTGAGCGCCCAGGTACACCTATGTGGACTTTTGCTTGCGGCAATCGTGCATAAGGCATTTAATTATGACATTGCGCATAGATATGAGTTTGTGAATGTTCAAGGAACACTTTTATACCAATATCAGGAAAAAATTATATCACCGTGATTTATGACGAAATATTTTGTGAAATATATCTAAAAAAAAATGTATGTTTTGTGTCCTTTTACACACGAAATATGCTTTGATCGAGACTCCCTGGTAATATGTTTTAGTTTACGTGGTAATATATACGTATATCACATACGAAGCACTAATGTTTAAAAATAGCCTTATAAGGAAGGATTGAAATATTTCCGTTACATTTCGCTCACGGTCGGTACATCACAGCAGGGGGCAATTTGAATTGATTTGAAATTGGTAGTTACCGTTGTAAAGACCAATTCAATACGAATGTTACCTAAATGTCGGATTTTTAAACTTCGGATGTATAAGCGAGATACAGATTATTTCATGTTGAAGATGATAGTACTCAGTAATACCTGCTCTGAAATAAAAACTATATGGAATTTTGAGCTCGGTTGTATGCGTAGTCTTCGTCTGGCGTTCAAAAAGCTATCGCATCCGTTTCGTGCGTTCCCGATAAAAATGAATATGTTTAGACGTTACCGTAAGTCTTAGGCACCATAAATTGGCAAATATCCCACAACACATAGGCGTCTGCATGATTTTATGCACTTCTTAGTAAAGATAATGGGTGCAAATGGCTAATCATAACTTTACACTTGTTCTCCCTTGCAATCTGTTAATATTGACAATTATCAAAGAAAATGGGTATGAGAGGGATAACTAATAAATTTTATTATTTAGATATGAAAGTCAATGTAGGCCTACTAAATGATGATGATTAATCTTTTTAACTTTATGTGCGTGCGTTCACGTACATATGATCCTCCTCGAAAATTATAAACACCCAGTGACCATCTCCCCCTCCCCCCCCCCTGTGTGAGGCATGGGGAATAACGACTTTCGTAAGTTCTCGAATTCAATGTACTAAATATGCTTTTGAAATTCTCAAAATTGAACCACCATGTTGTATTCATGCCAGGACTTTATAATTAGAATGATTTTGTACTAATGTTGCCATCCACAGTTCCCCATTTCTTCAAAAATAAAAAATAAAAAAAAAAATGGAAAATAAAAAAAAATATTTTTTTTAAAAAAGGTTTTTATCTGGTTTAGATTAGTTGTCTCTATGGTAAAATGCATTTATTAAGCTTTTCACACGAAAATATCAACTTTAATGAACAACGAAAAAAAAAAAAAAAAAAAAGTGACATACCTTTACAGAATAGCGTCCCTATTGAACATGAAAATTCCTATTGACTTGGTAATCATTGCATTGCAAAGTACACTAAAATAAGCGTTTTTTTGATATATAATATCATTAGATTCAGAGAAAAATAACAGAGATAACGAACTTTGGCAAGGTGCCAAATACAAAACGCCGTAGCTCGGCTATTTTTTTATGAATCTTCGGTACTTCCCAACTCACGTAATTTTCATGCGATCCAAATGCAGTTTGTTGCTTTCACTAGAGCCTCGGCGTCCCATAGCCATGTAAAAGGCCGATTTTTGAATTTTTGCCTTAATCAAAAAATAATAATATTTTAATGCTGAAAAACGCATTCAAAAATAGTTCTCTATGTCAAGCTGTCCCCCGCCAAAAAAAAAAGGAAATTCAAAATTCGGCCTTTTACATGGCTATAGGCTAGAGTTGATCTAACACTAGCATTTTTGGGGGAATATTCTGTAAAGAGCTCTGATAGTTGGGATGTACCGAAGACATACCAAAAAAAATGGCGATTTTTTTCAACTTTTTGGGGGGTGCCCCCCCCAATGGGGGAGCAAAGTTAAAATTTATATATATAACGAAGCGCAATTCTTTGCTCTATAGCATGCAAAAAGAATCAATCAGTTATCTCTAACCGATATTTTTTTATGATGTATAGAGTAGGGAAAGGTGGCCATTCTCAGGGACGGTCCCCCTATAGACAAAGAAAAATATAGACAAAGATTAAACAAAACTCCCTGCAGACATAATTAAAGTATGTGCTACAGAGTGCAGATAAATGCTACTCTAGCCTAACAGAAATGCAGGAAAAGAGCAATTTTTAATAATAATTTCCCACAGCTGATTAATAGTGTACTGGTCTCCCTACTGGCAAGATATATCAGAAACTCAACTCTTCATTTAGCTAAAGTGTTCAAAAGAAAGCACCAGAAATCATTAACTTTTATGATATGAAAACAAAAACAGATTAAAAAACCTCCTGATAATCATAATCAAGTTCTCTAACAAATATACATAAATTTAGATTTGAAAAATAGCAACACCTCCAGAGCCAATAAAATCAACAATTCTAAATCTTATGATCAATATGAAAGTTCTATGAAGTAACTGCTTTGTAACATGCAACATCAACCTTGGCCATTCAACAAGAAAGGTTGAAAATAATGTTATTTCTACTTTCAAAATCAACCAATTAATCAGACTTCCTAGAGAAAATAGATCACCTGACAGCAGACGGATTTACAATTAATGTATTATGGATGATAGTCACACATGTTCTGAAAGTCAGGACACCTTTCCTAGCAGGTGTCCAACCCTAGCCTCCCCGAGTTCCATTGTCTACAGTGTGGTGAAGATGTCTATCAAGCCTTCATACCTTAACTGAAATAATCATGAATATCACCAATCTTTAAAGCAGAGTGGGCGATTTCTTTTTAGTTGGCAAGCAGTACTTTTCTTAATTTAATGTTCTATCATCTAGAAAATAAAGTACTGATAAAGTCTTAAATATAAATGTAACAATTACATAAAGAAAGAAAAAATACATGAAAAGAGATTATTTACCAAAATAATTTCCCTAAAATATCTAGCTAAAGAATTAAAGAAAGATACAAAAGCCAAGCACAATTTTATAGTACAGACTTCCTGCAAGAAATTTATTGTAGGACAAGTTAATCTTGATATTTCATTATTTTTTATAGAAAACTTATAACCCACTACCTATGTATATATATATATGGTACCATCCACAGCTAGCATTTTTCCAGAAACACGTAAAGAAATATTACGCAGCATAACCTAGCTATAACTACATATTACTGAAATATGTATGCATATCTCTTTCCATGTAAATTAAACCCTTCAATAAGAGTTCCTTCAAGTAGCCACACTCCATCTATAACTGAAACTTGGTAGCACAGAGTGGACTTCATATTCAATTTGCCCTGACTTAGTATGTCTATACTGTAAAGATTAAAAATAAATAAATAAATAAATAAATAAATAAATACATAATTAAATAAATAAATAAATAAATAATATAGATATAAATATAGATTTAGATATAGATGTGTATGTATTTTTACGCAGCGTGTAACTGCCTTTGTGAATCAGCATTTTATGTACTTGCAACCCTCTTCATGAGTCACGGTCTCTTTGATATATCTAACAATCTGACCCCTGGTTCATTATCTTTACATTCAATATTCTGGTAGATTTACATGCTGTCTTGCTAAACTACACATGGATGAGGTTAGTTTGCGTGTTATACGCTCATTAGCGACCTGTGCATTATTGAGATTGAGCTGTTGCCACGTCATCAAGTCATGGCATCCAGGCCTAGAGTGTATATGCAGGTAGTAACTGACCATTTAACATTTTATATAAGCAGTTTTTAGTCCCAAATTCAGAATTTTCTATTAGTCACATTCATGAAAACATTTAAAATTTAGCAATTAACAATTGATTTTTTTGGAACGTGTACATATACAGTAATAAAAAACATTGATCACATACCCTATCAGTCTAAATGTTAATCAATTTGGTAATTTAGTTTCTAATCAAAATCAATTAAACAGCAAATAATATTGATGTCCGACGACCAAGATATTTGTCTGCAAAAGGAATATTAGCGTTGAAAACTAAGAGTACGTTTCCCATAGTAAAACCCCTTACAAATAACACCTTGACCGGTATCCACAGGCACATGCAATTCTTCTTTTGTTCTCTTATTGTTAGGGACTGTCACTCCCTCAAACCTTAACTAAAATGCATTCATCTTTCTAAATTGCAAAGTCCCTCGCCATCATCCTAATCCAAGACGGAATAAACTCAGAAAGAGAGAAAAAAGGATGGAAAAAATTCTCGCCCAAACCCGTCCCTGTGATCACGACCCGATCAGCTGATTCAACCCAGCTTTTGTAACACGGCAAACAAAAATAGAACTCTACCTTAAAAAACATTAAAATACTGACAAATATCCTAATTTTACTAGTTCTCATTTAATCAACAGACATTAACACACCAACAAACTCACCCCGCAAGACCGCCGAAAAGGAATTTGATGCCATTGGGGATGGTTTTCTTGTCTTGTGCCATCGCGAGTCTCGTCGGCTGCTCCGTCGACGTAGGGAACACGACGTCTTCTGCCTCATCGCCACGGCCTCCCCCATACTTTTCAGGACAGCTAGCCGGGGAATATGAAAAAAGAAAATTGTACGTATGCCTTTCTCTTCCTTTTAAAATTTAGTTTTTTTTTCTGTAGCAGCTCTGTGATTTTTATGCTACAAAAGGAAGTTTATAATTTAAGAGGACAAATCTGTGTGATATACGAAAGTGGGAAGTAAAAAGTGTCTCATGTTTTCAAGCTCTAAGAAGGCTGAAGTATTTTGTGTAAAATTTACGAAAAAACAAGCATACTGGGCAGGGTCTAAACATGTGCGTACGCATATATGCTTTTGAAGCACGTTAAAAAATGAAAGATTCAAATTAGAGAGTAGATAATTTATGCAATAGTGAAGATAGGCTTGACTATATTCACGATTTTCAGGAATGATAGCATAATATATTTTTGTTGTCATATGGTAATAAGGAATGCATGACTTGTAAGATATATATATATATATATATATATATATATATATATATATATATATATATATATATATATATATATAATATGCTGGTAACGTACGGTATATATGTTTTGTTTGAGGTATAGATTTACCCTTCTGAGAGATGATCTATAAACATTTTATTATGTAAGGTGTGCCGGTTGTCATTTCATAACAACTGGAAACATAGAATAATTGCTAATGACGAAAGAGTTTGGATACTTGTCAAGTACGTCTTTTTTTTAATGATATAGTACGTTTTCCTGTTAACAGATAATGATTTCATAAAAAAAAACTGTATTTTGTACCTGTATAGCATGAATATATTGAAAACAGTGATTCCTTAAATTGTATATAAAATGTTTGAAAAATTTAACCAACCTTTAATTTTAAACGTTTTCTTCATTTCACAAACAAAAAACAGAAGATACCTGTCAATACGCATACTAGACTTAATGCTTATCTAATCAGATAAGAAATCCATTCTCATCCATACCGGTCATGCAAAGATAACGAAATTAACATGACGTTATTACTTCAACAAAAACAAACGGAATGTTTCACAGTTTCTACAATCCAATAACGAAGACAAACGTCAAACTAAACAAAACACCCCCGCCTACATAATCTCTAACCGACCATCCATTTATGAAGCATAACCAAATAATTCATCGTTCGAAGTTAAAATCAAAAATAAATTTATTTTAGTTCTCATTTGACTTAAAACTCGACGTCGTCTGCTGCGAGCTCTTGACTCGACCTGTCTGACCTTGGGCGCCGTTCAGAGGTGAGTCTCCGTCGCTGACCTTCCCTCATTCCGGTTTTATGCCACTGGTCGATAATTGGTAGCGAATCAAAGTGAATTTGAAGTATGTGGCGAATATGTGTGTTTTCTTTATGGTTAGGTCTTTTGTTGATAATGGGAGCTCGATATCCGGTTTTGACATGCGATATCGAATGAGCGATTTCTCTCTCTCTCTCTCTCTCTCTCTCTTCTCTCTCTCTCTCTCTCTCTCTCTCTCTCTCTCTCTCTCTCTCTCTCTCTCTTTCTTCTTTTTTTTTTTTTTTTTTTTTTTTTTTTTAGGAACGCGAATGTCAAAGGTGTAACTGTATTTCTGTCTCTCTCATGATAGTGGTTGCCGCGCGGTAGTGGTGCGAGATAAACACATCTCTAAAATGAACTCGTGACTTTTTTAAATTTATAGATGAAACCTGTTACTTTTCATTAATATTTCTTATTCTTATTCTTACTACTAATTATTATTATTATTATTATTTTGCTGTTAACGGAATGTGGATATTCACTCTCTTCTGCTTAATATAATTCGTAGAGAGATATAATTGAAACCGGTATAGATTTATATTACTGAGTACCCAACGCGTGTATTTTTAGACATTCTAACTAATATACAAACGCTCCGTGACCATTGCACATATCTATGCACTAACTCGAAGAAAGCGTGGCATAGAATTTCATTTTCCTTCTCTTCCCTGATGCTTGCCTGACAGGTTCTGGTCATGAAAACGAGACATTTTGTGGTTTTGTGTTGTAGGCCTACCTGGCTCTGCGGTTTCCTGGTGTCGAAGAGGTTGGTTTAGTTTATTGATGAATAAGGACGTGGTGTATGTGTATTATACGCGCACGCACGAACGCACGCACGCACGCACACACACACACACACATACATACATACATACATACATACATACATACATACATACATACATACATACATACATACATACATACATACATACATACATACATACATACATACATGCACACATGCACACATGCACACATGCACACACATACACATACACACTCACTAATACAGACACACAGTCACTAATACAGACACACACATTAATACAGACACACACACTACAGACACACACAAATACAGACACACATACACGCACCACACACACACGCACTAATACAGACACACACATACACACACACACACACTAATACAGACACACACACACTAATACAGACACATACACACACTATACAGACACACACACACAACACTAATACTACACACACACACACTAATACAGACACACACACTAATTCAGACACACACACTAATACAGACACATACACACACACACTAATACAGACACACACACCCATACACAGGCACACAAGCGTAAAATCGTGTTTTTTTAGAATATTGTATGTTTGTTTGGATCCATGAACACTGTATCAAGAACCATGTCTCATAAAATACCGAATGAACACTGGATTTATAGATTTCTTTTTTAAAATGGTTCCCCAGTTTGTTCAGTTTCCTTCTACCTGTTCTCCATCTTCAACGAAATTTCACAACGGACTTTCCAAATACACTAAAAAAAAGGAATGTTTTATAATGCACTTACCGTTTTCTTTCTGGTATAATACGTGCCAAGTATTTTTCCTCTCTCTCCCTCTCTCTCTTTCTCTCTCTTTCTCTTTTCTTTTTTTTCCTTACGTCCACCAGTAACGATTCACTTTGTTCACGAGGAAAGGGGTGTGGTTGTCAGGCACAGGCGAGAGGTGTGTCCGTGAGCAGTGCCTGGTGCCAACGGTGCCAGGTGATGCACAGTGTCTAGTAGTGCCAAACCTGTGCTGGTCCTACAGTGCCAGTCCTCTCTCTTACTCCTTGCACCATTTCATCTTTTCCTCTCTCCTTCTTTCCTTCTATCATATTTCTTTTTTCACTTTCTCTCTCCTCGTTTTTCATTTTTCTCTCCGTCCTTCCTTCTTTCCCTCTCTCTTTCTCCTCCTACTGTCATGTATTCTTTCTTTATGTCTTTCCCTCCTATCTTTCTCTCTCTCTCCCTTTCTTTCATTTCTATTCTTTCCCTTTTTCTTTCCCTCTCTTCCTTCATCCTTCCCTCTATCCCTTCTTCTCTCTCTCCCTCCTCCTCTCTCTTCGTCCTTTCGTCCTAGCTCCTCCATTTTCTCCCTTTTACCTTCCCTCCCTTTCTTCGTCCTTCCTGTCTTCACACTCACTTTTCTTTTCTTAGTCTCTCCCTATTTCACTCAGTGAAGGTGTGAACACAAAAAAAACAACAGAACAAAAATGACAATATGACAACTTAAAAAAAACAAAAAACAATATACATGAATCCATAACAAAAAAAATGAAGACGATAATTTATAGAAACTTTGAAATCCCCCAAATGGTGGCAGCATGTGACCAAATATAATCACCATTAGCATAATTTTCTCAGGAGTTCCAATGGCATTCTCATGACATTTCCACCACCTTCTCGCGGATATGTTCGTGCATGTCGTATTCTGTGCATGAATTGGCCTTTGCGTTCCCTTCAGCTTTAAAGGTCGAGTTTCCAGCTTTAATCAAAAGTATGGGAAGGCATTTGCTTGTGATTTATGAATGCCTGGTAATTTTTTTTTTACTTTCTTTCGTTAACTTTTATTGTGCTTGATACTCATTTTGTTTTTATTGTTAATATTCTTCCAGATGTTGTTATTGTTGTTATTATTATTATTATTTATGATGTTATAGTAATGATGTTATTATCATTATCATTATCGTCATCATTATTGTTATTATTATTGTTAATGTTTTTGTTATCATTATTGTTGTTATTATTATAATTATCATTATTATTGTTGGCAGTGGTGGATGGGGTTATATTTATAGTTATTATCATTGTTGTTATTTTTTGTTATTATTGTTATTATTATGGTAACCATAGTTGTTATTATTAACAATTATCATTATTATTTTCATTATCATTATTATCATAATGGTAATGATGATGTTTATTGCTACTATTATGGTTATTGTTATCATTATTGCCTTGCTATTACCTATTATCATTGTCATTATCTGTTATCATTGGTATTATTATCTTTGATATTATTATCATTATCAGTATTGTTATTATTGTTATTAATATTATTATCATTAATATCATCATCAGTATTATCATCAATATTATTATCATTCTTATCATTATTATTATTATGAACAGTATTTACGAAGTCCGGTGCGACTGATTGCGGTTTGCAATCAGCTGATTGGCTTTCGCTCGTCTCAGTTTCCTGTTCATTTTTTTGCTTCCCTCCATCTCTCATTTTTTATTTTTTTTAGTCTGTCTTGGTTTTTCTGTTTATTTTGCTTCGTTTTTCCCTCTCTCTCCAACTCCTCTCCATCTCTCTCTCTCATCCCTCCTCTCTCCTCTCTCTCCTCTCTCTCTCTCCCTCTCTCTCGTCTCTCCTCCCTCCTCCTCCCTCTCCCTCCTCTCCCTCCTCTCCCCTCCCTTCACCTTCCCCCTTACCCTCCTCCCTCCTCCCTCCCTTCTCCTCCCTCCCCTCCCTTCACCTTCCCCTCTCCCTCCTCATCTCTCTCTCTCTCTCTCTCTCTCTCTCTCTCCTCTCTCTCTCTTCCCCCTCTATCTCTATCCATCCCCTCTCACTTCCCTCGCCACTCGAACGGTAGAAGAACAAAGCCACGTGTTCTGCTCTCACGTTCCGACGTCGACGATCCACTCTGGCCAGGCGGTCGATGCGGGACCTGTCGACTCGAGGGAGGGTCTGAGGAGGAGGGTTCTGCT